CGCTATGATATATATATTATATTGTGATACGCTAGCCGGGGATTATGACTAGCGTGTGTGTGTATTTTTTTACCTTAATCTTTTTCGTTATTTATAGTAACACTGAGTACAATATTGTACTTAAATTCTACTAGGAAAAGGGACCGGAATTCAGCTGGCAGTGTACAGCGCTGATTGCAGCAGTACGTAGTGCAATATAGCAAGTATTGTGGACTAGCTTTTTATGACCTATGTAACGGCACTAGTCTGCTGCCACTACAATCAGCACTGCGCACTACCAATTAAGATAACACTTTGCATATAGTTGTGAACTGAGTGTTTATTAAAATCTACGTAATTACTGAAACGAGATTCTAGTGGCACACCACCAAGACACTCCCTACGATGTGGCTTACTAATCCGTTTATTGCTATACTTTAATAACTTCCGTAGGGGCGCTTCGGGTTGACTCTATTTATATATTCAGGGATAGGTAGTTATGGAAGGACTATTTTCACTCACTGCTTGTACAGTACTAAGATAAATTGGCGTCACCTACCAGTTAAATATTTTGGCCGGACTAATCGTCTTGTTCCCGGCGATGCTGCGTGCGTCACGGGCAGCGGAGAGCTTGGGCGACCTGGTTAACGTCGTCGAGTGTATGAGGTTGTGTGTTGGCACTAGCATGCAGTGTTGCGGCTACTTAGTGGTTCGGCAGGCGAGAGTCTAACGTTGCCATGTCGTGCAGCACCAGTACCAGCCTCACAGCGAGCCCAAGTGTCTATCCTTGTCTCGCCGCGCAGGCGCAACGTACTCTCTACGGTCTGTCACACACACTACCCGACACGGCCTCACCGGTCGACCACCGCTACCAAACTACCTCCCAATACACTGACAGCTATCACTCACGAACCTACAGCCTACTTTCATGATACTTTTCATATACACATTACTAAGGTCCCTTTGTGGGACCACGGGAGGGAGAGTCAAGCCGAGCTCTTAGATTGTTTGTATTATTACGGCCTCTGGGCCTTGTATCAAAATTCCACGTGTTATACTTAGTAAGCCACATGCACGAGAGAAAGAGAGAGCTATCTTTGACTCTTGCCGTTTATTCGCGATGATAAGGGCTCTGTGACTTGCTTATACACACCTTTGATTCGCCACGTCACAATATATATATATATATATACAATCGCCCTACTGCGCGCTTCGCGCGCCCACCCCCAAGAAATGCTTAAAATTTGAAAATTCAATAAAAAATAAAAAAGTTTATAGATAAATGATAAATTGTTTCTTAGTTGTTTTAATTTTTTTGATGATGTTTCTAATATTTTCATATACTTTTTATATTCATCTGACATACAATTTCGTGTCACAATATTTTGTTATACAATAAATCCAACTTATGTTTAAAATCAAAGTATTTAAAGATAAAACTTTATTATTAAAGCTTTTTTGTAAAAGAAAAATGTACACATCTGTATAATCGTATGAAATGGAATATTTATCAATTAATATTTATTATTGACATCAGGGTCAGTGCTAAGCATACGATCAGGAAGAGTTCATTTGGTGATACAGACATGATACAGACAATAACGATCGTCTTAACGATATAGACTAAGCCTGATGAGGTTGGCGTTAAGACTAACGAAACGTTGCTCAAACTAACACCTGA